TTTGTGAATAAAAAAAAATCAAATTGGAATTCATCTGTAAAGCCTGGAAATGTAACTGATAAACAGAGGAAATGTTATTTTAGTGCCAGGAATGCCTGGATTCTTTATTCTGGACTCTCATTTTGAAACTGAAATATTTCAGATTGTGAAATTGGCCAAATTACCAGTTTCTGATCACTTTATTGGGTAGTTGAAATAGTTGATTGGGCAGTTTCTTTTGCTCAATCGATAAAACAGAAGTAATGGTAGTGAAATAGATAAGAATTTGGTTGACTGGAATAATGTAATTGGCCTGAAATCAGAATCAAAGTGAGCAATATTGCTGGTGCAGTAAAATTTGTGATAGTGTAATTTTGTCAGTTTTAATAAAATTTCATACTTTTTGTGTTATTACCTTAAGAAAAAGATTCTCTGCCATTTCAGAAGAAAAAATATGTTTTTTTTAAATTCTTGGACCCTCAAAGGATTAAGAAATCCCAATTAACTTATGATTACTAAATCAGTTTGAAGTGTTAATACTCATTTAAAATTGTAATATTTTAAATTGTTCTAATTGTAATATTTGTGCTGCCTCTCTATTGTAAATTTTACTAATTGTAGTGTTTTTAATACCTCTCTTTTTTGTAATGTATAATTAAAATTTATGACTGTAATCTATGTCTAGTCTTAATGGCTTTTTTTGTACTTAACAATATTTAATTACATGTATGAAAAGAGGGGAAGGTACCTAGGGATTGGCGGAGAGCACGTATAGTCCCTTTATATAAAGGGAAAGGGGACAAAAGAGATTGTAAAAATTATAGAGGAATAAGTTTACCGAGTATACCAGGAAAAGTATACGGTAGGGTTATAATTGAAAGAATTAGAGGTAAGACAGAATGTAGAATTGCGGATGAGCAGGGAGGCTTCAGAGTGGGTAGGGGATGTGTAGATCAAGTGTTTACATTGAAGCATATATGTGAACAGTATTTAGATAAAGGTAGGGAAGTTTTTATTACATTTATGGATTTAGAAAAGGCATATGATAGAGTGGATTGAGGAGCAATGTGGCAGATGTTGCAAGTATATGGAATAGGTGGTAAGTTACTAAATGCTGTTAAGAGTTTTTATGAGGATAATGAGGCTCAGGTTAGGGTGTGTAGAAGAGAGGGAGAATACGTCCCGGTAAAAGTAGGTCTTAGACAGGGATGTGTAATGTCACCATGGTTGTTTAATATATTTATAGATGGGGTTGTTCGGGAGAGGGGTGGGATTAAATTATGGGGAATCAAATTCAAAATGGGAATTGACACAGTTACTTTTTGCTGATGATACTGTGCTTATGGGAGATTCTAAAGAAAAACTGCAAAGGTTAGTGGATAGTTTGGGAATGTGTGAAAAGGTGGGAAAGTTAAAAGTGAAATAGAAAAGAGTAAGTGATAGGGTATCAAATGTTTTTAGGTAAAAAAAAAATTGGATACAAATTGGGGGAGGAGGAGTATGGAGAACGAATGTTTTCGATATTGGGGGGTTTACGTGTCGGCGGAGGATTTTGACAGGAAAAATTTTGAGTCGGGTGACTTTCTTGATACATCCAGGATTGTTTTTTAAAAAAATTTGTGAAAAAGCCCAAAAGGGGGGAAAAAAACCTCCCTTTACTTGGTTTTTCCCGTAGGAAACACTAATTAATAATCTTGAGGGTTTAAGTAGCTTGGGGGAAAGGTCACAAATCCTCAGTTTTAAAAATATCATGGAATTTCCCTAATAATGGGAATAAGTCCGCCCCGACTTTTTGCTTTGGGTGATTTCATAGGCTGAAAAATTACTTAGGTGGGGTGAACTGGAATGACCCGACTAGGGTAGGAGGGGTGATGGTTGCCGTATGGCTTTCCAGGGATAGTTCTAGGTCAGTCAAATTAGTTCCAAAAGGGAAATCAGATCAAACAAAAAAGACCCAAAATGGATGAACAATAGATTAAAAAATTTTGATTGGTCAAAAGAGAGGCATATATAGGGAAATCAAAAGAGGAGAGGGGCAATTAAGAAATCGATATATTCAGTTAAAGAGAGAAATAAAAAAGGGAATTAGAAAAGCAAAAAAGAGATTATGAGGTTAAAGTTGAAAAGAGAATCGAAGACTAACCAAAAGGATTCTTTCAGGTATACAGAAGTAAGATCAGGGACAAGATAGGCCCACTCAAAAGTTCCTCGGGTCAGCTCACTGACAGTGATAAGGAAATGTGTAGAATTTTTTAACACATACTTCCTCCTAGTTTTTACACAAGGAGGATACCAGTGATATTCCAGTAATGAAAAAATTTATGTAGAACAGGACGATAATAAACTGTGCACTATTAGGGTCACAAGTGACATGGTCCTTAGGCAAATAGAAAAATTTAAAAACCCTAACAAATCCCCGGGCCCCTGATGAACTGTATGCAAGGGTTCTAAAGGGGAATGTAAAGAGGAGCTTAGCACACCTTTGGCTAATCTTTTCAACATATCACTACAAACTGGCATGGTGCCAGATAAGTGGAAAATGGCAAATGTGATACCTATTTTTTAAAACAGGTGACAGGTCCTTAGCTTCGAACTATAGACCAATAAGCCTAACCTCCATGTGGGAAAATTTATGGAATCAATAATTGCCGAGGCAGTTGTAGCCACCTTGAAAAGCATAAATTAATCAACGAATCTCAGCATGGTTTTACAAAGGGACGTTCCTGCCTTACGAATTTATTAACTTTTTTTCACTAAGGTATTTGAGGAGGTAGATCATGGTAACGAAAGGGTATTTGTGTATATGGACTTCAGTAAGGCTTTTGACAGGGTCCCACATCAGAGACTATTGAGGAAAATTAAAGCACATGGAATAGGGGGAGAGAAATTTTTTCCTGGATAGGGCATGGTTGACAAATAGGCAGCAGAGAGTTTGCATAAATGGGGAGAAATCAGAGTGGGAAGCGTCACGAGCGGTGTTCCACAGGGGTCAGTGTTGGGGCCCCCCTGTTTCACAATCTACATAAACGACATAGATGAGGGCATAAAGAGCGACATCGGCAAGTTTGCCGATGACACCAAAATAGGCCGTCGAATTCATTCTGACGAGGACATTCGAGCACTCCAGGAAGATTTGAATAGACTGATGCAGTGGTCGGAGAAGTGGGAGATGCAGTTTAATATAGACAAATGCAAAGTTCTAAATGTTGGACAGGACAATAACCATGCCACATATAAACTAAATAATGTAGATCTTAATATTACGGATTGCGAAAAAGATTTAGGAGTTCTGGTTAGCAGTAATCTGAAACCAAGACAACAGTGCATAAGTGTTCGCAATAAAGCTAATAGAATCCTTGGCTTCATATCAAGAAGCATAAATAATAGGAGTCCTCAGGTTGTTCTTCAACTCTATACTCCTTGGTTAGGCCTCATTTAGATTATGCTGCACAGTTTTGGTCACCGTTTTACAGAATGGATATAAATTCTCTGGAAATGTACAAAGGAGGATGACAAAGATGATCCCATGTATCAGAAACCTTCCCTATGAGGATAGACTAAGGGCCCTGAAACTGCACTCTTAGAAAGACGTAGAATTAGGGGGGATATGATTGAGGTTTATAAGTGGAAGACAGGAATAAATAAAGGGGATGTAAATAGTGTGCTGATAATATCTAGCCTAGACAGGACTCGCAGCAATGGTTTTAAGTTGGAAAAAATTCAGATTCAGGAGGGATATAGGAAAGTACTGGTTTGGTAATAGAGTTGTGGATGAGTGGAACAAACTCCCAAGTACCGTTATAGAGGCCAGAACGTTGTGTAGCTTTAAAAATAGGTTGGATAAATACATGAGTAGATGTGGGTGGGTGTGAGTTAGACCTGATAGCTTGTGCTAACAGGTCGGTTGCCGTGTTCCTCCCTTAAGTCAGTGTGACCTGACCTGACTAGGTTGGGTGCATTGGCTTAAGCCGGTAGGGACTTGGACCTGCCTCGCATGGGCCAGTGGGCCTTCTGCAGTGTTCCTTCGTTCTTATGTTCTTCTTATTTATGAAGGATGAGGTTAATCATAGAATTGATGAGGGAAAAAAGGTGAGTGGTGCGTTGAGGTATATGTGGAGTCAAAAAACGTTATCTATGGAGGCAAAGAAGGGAATGTATGAAAGTATAGTGGTACCAACACTCTTATATGGATGTGAAGCTTGGGTGGTAAATGCAGCAGTGAGGAGACGGTTGGAGGCAGTGGAGATGTCCTGTCTAAGGGCAATGTGTGGTGTAAATATTATGCAGAAAATTCGGAGTGTGGAAATTAGAAGGTGTGGAGTTAATAAAAGCATTAGTCAGAGGGCAGAAGAGGGATTGTTGAGGTGGTTTGGTCATTTAGAGAGAATGGATCAAAGTAGAATGACATGGAAAGCATATAAATCTATAGGGGAAGGAAGGAGGGGTAGGGGTCGTCCTCGAAAGGGTTGGAGAGAGGGGGTAAAGGAGGTTTTGTGGGCGAGGGGCTTGGACTTCCAGCAAGCGTGCGTGAGCATGTTAGATAGGAGTGAATGGAGACGAATGATACTTGGGACCTGACGATCTGTTGGAGTGAGAGCAGGGTAATATTTAGTGAAGGGATTCAGGGAAACCGGTTATTTTCATATAGTTGGACTTGAGTCCTGGAAATGGGAAGTACAATGCCTGCACTTTAAAGGAGGGGTTTGGGATATTGGCAGTTTGGAGGGATATGTTGTGTATCTTTATACGTATATGCTTCTAAACTGTTGTACTCTGAGCACCTCTGCAAAAACAGTGATAATGTGTGAGTGTGGTGAAAGTGTTGAATGATGATGAAAGTATTTTCTTTTTGGGGATTTTCTTTCTTTTTTGGGTCACCCTGCCTCGGTGGGAGATGGCCGACTTGTTGGAAAAAAAAAAAATGTAAATTACATTTTGTATACTACACAAAGAAATAAAATATATTTTTGTTTGTTTATTGTTAAGACTCCATGTTAAATATTTGTAATGCTTTGTTACAGGTGGCCGGTATGCAGTTGAAACCGAGATCGTTCGAGCAGATTTTTCTGTAGGACGAACCATTTATGATGATATTAGCAAACATCTTGAAGGAAAGGAGATTGGAATTTTAGGTAAGTTTATTGTAAAGTTATAAGTCAAGGTTTTTACTAAATACAAACCACTGAATTTTACCCCCTGTCCAACTCCTCCTCCTAAGAGCGTAAGCTATCCAAAATTATATGAAAAAATATCAGAACTGAAAGTACAGGGAATCACTACAGCAGGTCCTCCAGCAGCCCATATATGTCAGGTCCTGAAATCCAACCCATCTCATTTGTATTTGTCCAAGTTGCCCATAGTTTAATTAAGCTTCAATGCAACTACTAACCCGTACTTGTTATGTTAAAGGACACAAGTGCAACTAATGCTTTATAGGTCCCTCTTAAATCCAGCCCTTCTTACTCCTAAGAATGGAGGACAACTGCAGCAGGTCTACTGGCCCATACTTGATAGGGCCTTCCTTCCCAAATTCATCCCCTGTATAGTAAGGCCCCACTTATATGTCAGGTTAGGTTCCAGGCTACCGCCAGAAAGTGGACATCTCTGGAAAGCAGAATGCTATTTTTTACACTTATAAATTCATATAAATGCCAGACAACAAGTTTACACTAACATATATCAAGCTAAGAGTAGAACTAGGCATTGAAAAACAATAAAATGCCAAATACATGCACAGTACAGTAGGGCCCCACTTATACAGCAGGTTAGGTTCCAGGCTACTGCCAGAAAGCAGAACGCCATTTTTTTTTTCCACTTATAAATTCATATAAATGCCAGATAACAAGTTTACACTAACTTATACTAAATTAGCAGTAGAACTAAGCATTAAAACAATAAAAAGTAAAATACACAAACAGTACATCCATTACTTAAAATATTTGTAGTGTTAATGTAGGGTGAGAGTTGAGTTTTATTTGTAGGAAGTCAGGTTTGTGAATTATGGCAGCCATCCAAGTCAGCCCACCCCACCCCACCCACACGTAATATACTACGACATTTAATCCTTTCAGGGTCGGTGTCATACTAGTATGGCTTGCACGCCAGGGTTGGTTCTGTACTAGTACATGTAAATTCTAGCGCCTTCAAATCTAGCGAGAGAAAGCTGGTAGGCCTGCATAAGAAAAGAATGGGTGTGTGGGGTCAGCGTGCACAGTATAAAAAAAAATCCTGCTGCACACAGTGCATAATGAGAAAAAAAACTCCAACTGTGTTTTTGGCTTAAAACAGCGACTTTGCAGTGTATTTTCGTATGGTATTTATGGTTATATTCTCGTTTTCTTGGTCTCATTTTATAGAATGGAAGACATATTACAGAAATTGAAATGATTTTGATTGGTTTCACAATGAAAAGTACCTTGAAATGTTCGATTTTTGCCAATGTTCAAAAGTAAAGAAATAATTCCACATGTCCAATACATGTCAACTGGTGAGTCTAGTATTCTTTCAAAAGTGCATTGATATTATTTATACCATTTTTACACTAATGCAGTAGTCTACTTAACAGTAAATCTTCTATTTTTGTGAGAATAAAAGTTCAAAGTGGAAAGCAAAAGAAATGTAAGATGGGTCTGGACACGTGACTAGTGAACAGAGAAAATGTTATTTTAGTGCCAGGAATGTCTGTCTTGTTTATTCTGGACCCTATTTTGAAATTGGCATCTTTTGAAATTTGTGTGAAATTGGTGAAATTGGCAACTTCTGACCACTTTTTTGGATAGTTGAAATCAGTAATTGGCTAGTTTCTTCTACTCATTCGATAGAACAAATGGAGTTCTAACGAAATAGCTATGATTTTTGTCAACTGGTACATTGGAATTGGCCGAAAATAGGGCTCAAAGTGAGTGAAATCGCTGATGCATAAACATCGTCGAGACTGGTAACTTCACGAGAGCATAATTTCGTAAGTTTTCCATCAAATTTCATACTTATGGTGTCATTATGATTGGAAAAAGATTCTCTATCATTTCATAAGAAAAAAAAAATTTTATATTTTGGGGGAAAATTTTTGACCCTGAGAAAAAGTTTAGGAGAGGGCCTCTCAACCCTGAAAGGGTTAATTAAAGTGCCCCAGAGCAATAAACATACATATACTGTACAGTACATTCATTAACCCTTTCAGGGTTTCGGCCGTACTAGTACGGCTTACGCACCAGGGTTTTTGACGTACTAGTATGCCTAAATTTTAGTGCCCTCAAATCTAGTGAGAGAAAGCTGGTAGGCATACATATGAAAGAATGGGTCTATGTGGTCAGTGTGCATGGTATAAAAAAAATCCTGCAGCACACAGTGCGTAATGAGAAAAAAAAAACTGACCGTGTTTTTGGATTAAAACAGCGACTTTGCACTGTATTTTCGTATTGTATTTATTGTTGTATTCTAGTTTTCTTGGTCTCATTTTATAGAATGGAAGACATATTACAGAAATTGAGATGATTTTGACTGGTTTTACAAAGAAAACTACCTTGAAATTGCACTCAAAGCAGAAATGTTTGATTTTTACCGAAGTTCAAAAGTAAACAAATCATGCTATGCGTCCAATGCACATCAACTGGTGAGTCTAATATTCTTTCACAAGTGTGCTGATAATATTTATACCATTTCTACACCAATGCAGTAGTCTGCATAACAGTAAATCTTCTATTTTTTTGTGAGAATAAAAATTCAAAGTGGAAAGCAAAAGAATGTAAGAGGGGCGTGGGGACGTGACTAATGAATAGAGGAAATGTTATTTTAGTGCCAGGAATGTCTTTCTTGTTTATTCTGGACCCTATTCGGAAATTGGCATCTTTTGAAATTTGTGTGAAATTGGCAAAATTGCTAAATTCTGACCACTGTATTGGGTAGTTGAAATCAGTAAATGGGTGGTTTCTTGTACTCATTCGATAGAAATAATAGAGTTCTAGAGAAATAATTATGATTTTTGTCGATAAGTACACTGGAATTGGCTGAAAATAGGGCTCAAAGCGGGCAAAATCGCCGATGCATAAACATCATCAAGACCGCTAACTTTGTGAGAGCATAATTCCATAAGTTTTCCATCAAATTTCATACTTTTGGTGTCATTATGATCGGGAAAAGATTCTCTATCTTTTCGTAAGAAAAAATTTTTTTTTTTTTTTTTTTGAAATTTGGGGGACCCTGAGAACAAGTCTCTGAGAGGACCTGGGGACCCTGAAAGTGTTAATTACCTTAAAATATTTGTAGTCTTAATGTAGGGTGAGAGGCGAGTTTGTGAAGTATGCTAGCCAGCCATTGGCAGCCCTCCCTGCCCCACCCCACCCACACACACATAATGTATACAAACCAGGCGAATGCGTCTGGTTTTCGTTCATACACTTTTTGTATTATACCATAATACAAACACTTTACATTAAAGTTGTCTCCATGTTGATACAGTAGAATAAATAAAGAGAAACACTCCCATTCTTATGTAACACCATTTTTAGAAGAAATTATGCTCTGAGTGAAGGCACATGAAAGTAAGTCACTTCGACTTTTTTGGGTTATCCTATGTTCTCTACACATATGATGCTATGTATGATAATCTATGTAACTGTATTTGTGTATACCTGAATAAACTTACATACAGAAGGAATTTTTCTAGTTTCCCCCAGTAATATTATAGTGTACACATTTTCTCTGATGTTGGACTACAAATCGCCTGGCTACCGCAAGTCCTACAAGTCACCAGGGTACCATATCTCTTTTTTTTTTTTTTCAACAAGTCGGCCGTTTCCCACCGAGGCAGGGTGACCCAAAAAAGAAAGAAAATCCCCAGAAAGAAAATACTTTCATCATCATTCAACACTTTCACCACACTCACACATTATCACTGTTTTTGCAGAGGTGCTCAGAATACAACAGTTTAGAAGCATACACATATAAAGATACACAACATATCCCTCCAAACTGCCAATATCCCAAACCCCTCCTTTAAAGTGCAGGCATTGTACTTCCCATTTCCAGGACTCAAGTCCGACTATATGAAAATAACCGGTTTCCCTGAATCCCTTCACTAAATATTACCCTGCTCCCACTCCAACAGATCGTCAGGTCCCAAGTACCATTCGTCTCCATTCACTCCTATCTAACATGCCATGCACGCTTGCGGGGAATTCCAAGCCCCTCGCCCACAAAACCCCCCTTTTAAAACCCCCTCTCAACCAACCCTTTCGAGGACGACCCCACCCCCCCTTTCCTTTTCCCCAAGTTTTTAAAATGCTTTCCATGTAAATTCTCCCTTTGATCCATTCTCAAAAAATTTGGCCCCAAACCACCTCAACAACCCCTCCTGCCCCTCTAAACTAATGCTTTTTTTAAAACCCCACCCCTTTTTTCCTAATTTCCACACTCTAAAATTTCCTGCATAATTTTACACCACACATTGCCCTTAAATCTGTAAAGAGTTTTTATGGGGATAGTAAAGGCTCGGGTTTGGGGGTTTTTAAAAGGGGAGAGGGAGACTATTTCCCCGGGTAAAAGAAAGGTCTTAGACAGGGAGTGTAATGTCACCATGGTTGTTTAATATATTTTTTTGTTTGGGTTTTGAAAAGGGAAAAGAAAATGCTGGGGTGTTCGGGAGGGGGGTGGGATTTTTTTTTGGGGGAATTTAAAAATTCAAAGGGGAAATTGACAGTTACTTTTTGCTGATGAAACTGTCTTAAGGGGAAAATTCTAAAGAAAAATTGAAAAGGGTTTAGGGGATGAGTTTTGGGGAATGTTGAAAAGGGTAAAAAAACTGAAAGTAACATAGAAAAGATTGGGTGAGAGGGTATAAAATGTTTAGATAAAAAAAAAATTGGATATCAAATTGGGGAGGGGATAGGGAAAAGAACTGAATTTTTTCCCAAAATCCTTGGGATTTTAAACGGCCCGGCGAGGATTTATGAAGGATGATTTAAATCGGGGAATTGATAGGGAAAAAAGGGTAAATGGTGCTTGGGGTATATTGGAGTCAAAAAATGTTATCTAGAAAGAAAAGTGGGAAACCAACACTATTATATGGGTGGTAAAAAAAGGGGGGGTAAATATTGGGTGGAAAAATCAGCACCCGAGGAACGGTTGGGGGCCCAGGGGAATTTTCCGTTTAACCCTTTGGGGGTCCTTCCC